GCGCTGCTCCGTGTGAGGGGCGGTGGCGGGGACGGGGGCAGCGGTGCTGCTCTGGTCCCCCTGAGGCGGAAGGCAGCCTTCGAGCCGTAACGCGGGGAGCACGCGTTGGCTGCGGTGGCAGGAGGAGCAGCTCTGCACCGGGACAGAGCAGCGTGGTGAGTGATGGCTCCTGTTCGCCACGGCGGCGTGAGTGGGCATCGCCTCCCGCTCTGGCAGGCCCTGCTGCCAGGCCCTGCTGCCGCAGGGGTTCCTGCAGAGCGGCTTCAGCCCCACAGGGGTTGCGCATGGCGTCCTTGCTCCATGTGTCACAGGCTCCCTTGTCTACAGTAAACTCCTCTGGCACAACAGTTCAATGAGGTTTGTTGTTACAGCCCTATTTTTTCATCGGTTTGGCTTGAAGTTTGTGTGACGACTGCCGTTCATGTTGAAGCTATTCTGTGCACGTGATGGGCAGTCCGCTGGGCGTGAGGCAAGTCTGACAGGAGAGGGGAGCAGTTGGTGGTGGATGGAGCCAGAGTTAACTTCTGTGCCTGGAATAGGTGTTAAGCTGTCTCCCGTGGTAGGCCTAGGAGAAAATGAGTGAAATTGGAGGTTTCTCGTCTGCTATTGGTAAGGCTGTTTCTGCTAAGAAGTATTATTCAAGTTCTGGTCCCTGTCTGTTTGTAGAGCCACACGACTCTTGTAAAATCAGCTGAAGATTGTCGATGGAGCACCATGATTTTTACAAGGTACGATCTCACATCTTTCAAAATAAGGCAGAAGGGTGGGGAGAAATTGAGGAATAGATAGATAAGCCCATTCCCTGTGTGAAAATAATATATTCTTGTTTATATTCAGTGTTCTGGAACGCAGGGTTAGCCCTTTGGGATTGTTTTTAATTATACTGAAGTAAAAATATGTTTGGGCATGCCAAACTTTTATAGTCCATAATGAGTTTATTGCATATAATAATTATGGGCTCAGTAATTAAAACTTAAAAATTACTGCTATTTTATTTAATATAAATGATAAATCAAAGATTTCATTTGACTTTTTATAAGTTAAAACTAGGATGTGTCAGAAACATCAATCTTAAGTTTCGTATGATGGTAATTGTATGTTAGGCTTCAAGTACAGGAGTTGCATGTGTATAAAAGCCTTTGACAAGTCAAAAATACTGGCTAAGAGCAGAATTTCTTTTAACTTAGTATAATATATATGTTTTTAAATAATTTATAACAATAATTATTCAAGTTGGGTTTTTTTTCTTTTTAGGGCTGTTCCTCCAAACGAGACTTGATTGCAGTTTCAGCAGTTGCTTTACAGGATCATATAATACACAGTCATCAGCTCCAGGATCTTTCATTAGCAGATCTTTTTAAGTCAAGGACAAGGAATACCAAGAACGCTTACAGACCCGTGAACAAAGAATTGGTCAGGGCAGTAGTAGATACTGGACTAAGAGAAAAGAGCACTGACCACAAACACAAGGAAGATGCAGAAAAGGAGTATGTTCTTGATCCCAGTCCTCCACAGCTAACGTTAGGTAAACCATTACATTCTGATTTGTGAATTTTTGTTTTTATTTAATATCAACTGAAATGAGGAAGCTAGGCTTTCTGTTCAATAAGATAATTTAATGCTAAACAGCAAAAAATCTTGTTTTAAAATTTGTCAAAAATCGACAGTTTAGGCCATCAGGTAAACAATGGAATTGCCATCAGTGGCTGGAATGTGTCTTTTCATATATGAAATGTATTAAAAAATACTATTCTTGTGACAATGAAGGTAAAAATGAAGAAGCTAGTGTGTCTTGATGAAGAAGAATTCTTCATTAAGAGACAGGAAATCTTTTACACTTTTTTAAATGTGTTTTGTATATCGACTGTCGTAACTTTCTTTACCTTATATTCTCAAGCAAACGTTAGTGATTTTGATATTGTATTTATTTGGCGGAATGTTTTAGTATTAAGATTTTTTTTTAAGTCTGTTCGAAATTGTTTGTTATATTCCTTAGTCTGTAAAAAGACATTTGCTAGTGCTGCATTAAATGTATTCTTTGTTAATATATACCCACCTTTACTCAAAGTTAAAAAGGTTTGGCTTTACAATGGTCCTGGGGCTAAACCCAGGAAGAATTAACACCTGTAGTTAAATACCTTTTTCAAATTTAGAAGCAAACATGCAACAAGATAAAAGTCACAGATGTGAGGGCTTGGAATGATGCCTGGTGAGAAAACTCACTTTTAAATAGTGTTATAATAATACAGATTTACAGCAGCGACAAGGCAATACTGCTTAAAAAGACAAAGCCAGGGAGCATCTAAACAGACCAGGAGTCCAAATGTGGTTCCCACCTATCAGCTTCAGTCTTGTGTTTCCCTTTTCTAAAGGTTTCTGCAGTATTCTTCCCATGCATATCTCCTGGTCTCCATCCTTTTGGTTATCTTGATGAGGCATTTCTTAAAGGACCTTCTGGCTCCACAAACTGCAGTTTTAAGCATAATAAACTTTCATAATCATTAATAATTGTTTTATTTAGTCTTTTCCATAAAAATCCCCTTAGGCCTCTCTGAAGTCCGCATTGCCTTTGCTACGGTATGTCTTACAGCAGTCCCAGCTCTCAAGAGAACCATGTAAATCAGTGAGGTTCCATACAAGCACAGGCTTCTGCCTTTTAGAATCAGCTGAGGGTTAAGAGGGTAACATAGGATAATACACATGTAACAAGCAAAAGGACAAAGGCAGCAGGACAAGGTGATTATTACTATGTTTACATGGTTATAGTTTTGAAGATGGGAGGGTTTTTTCTTCGGTTCGTTTTGAAGAGGAATTTGAAAGAAGAGGGGATAGTGAGCGGCAAGAACAGCAGAGAGGTACTGGGGTTAATGCAAGTATAAATAATGAGTGATTATGGAAGCTAAAGGTTGTGGTGAAAAAATGCAGCCCAAGTGTGAGCATGTTCTATGCGATCATAAGGAAGACGAAGTATTTTCTCTTTAAATCACAGCAGTGACTGAAATGTCGCATATGAATGCTATTGCAAGTGATTCGAAAGAATGTGCTGAAAGATTTTTTTTTTTTTAAATTGCAGGTTTTTCTGGGGTTTGCTTATCAGAATTTTCACTTATAGTCTCACATTATTTTAAAATGCTTGTGTCAATCTTTCTCTTCTTAATAAGAATTGCATGGTTTAAACCTTACAGCTGTGAAACAACTTTGAAAATGTAATTTAATGCAACTTTTTCTTCTTGAGTTTGTGAATAATCAAACCAAATCTCACGGGCCTCTATCATTAAAGTTTTCTCAACAGGGACTTGAGGCCTAAAATCAAATAGTAATAGTTTAAAGGTTAATGTCTGTAATCACTTTGCTAATGTTCATTTTAGGATAAACAACTCACTTGGTTGTAAATGGGTGTGTCAGTAAATGGATTTGGCTTGTAAACGATGGGTAAGGATGAAAACTCTTGGATGTCTTGAGCTGTGATAAATGTAGGCTTTCATTGTGGGTATTTATTCAAAGTGCTGCTTTGAGAATGTCTTCATAGAGCCTTTTGCTTCAACCCCATATCCCTTCTTGTGTGTCCTGCTGCCAGTTTTCCTTCATCAACTATGTTGTATAAAAGCTTTCCTTCTAAACACCTGTATAACCTGTCCCTCACAAATATCCCATCTGGTTTATATTATTCAGAAGTTAGGTTTTGCCACCAATCTCTTCCTATTTGGCAGCTTTAATCATCCATTTGTGAAATTTTAAATAAGCATTTTTTCTTACCCCGGGGGTATACAAAAGGCTTTCCACAAAGCCATCTCATTGTCTTCCTTAAAACAGTCTCTGACCACAGTGCTTGGAAGAAAATCAAGGGGTAGGCATTTTTTATGTTGGGATACCGTCTTTCATGCTGTGACTGGTTTGCAATCGTGTTCACTCCCAGCGTACCCAGATTTTCTCATCACAAAGACCATTGCTTGTATATATTGGACTATCAAAACAGGCTTGTTTCCTTACTCATTCACTGGTACTCTGCAGTATTAGTGTCAGATGACTCTTTATGTATGTTTTTACTGAAACTTTTGTCATGTATTTTATAATTTGATTCTTCTTTTGTAGTAGAAACACTGATCTGTACAGTATATGCTCTTCAAAAGTCCAGTGGTCAGGAGGGAAAGCACTCCTGGTTAGGAAAACTTCATGTTACTCACCTACCAATTTTGGCATTTCTTGCTAAGCTTTAAGCAAAATACATGTTCTGAACTAGTTTTTAGACTCTAAAAAGTTTGCAGGTTCCTTCATATTTCTCTTAAAGCTCGTATTATTTTTCACCATCAAGAGTACCAGATAAAAGCATTTTACTGCACCGAAATGGATCAGACAATGCTATTTTACATTCTGAAATTACGATGCCATAAATACATACGTATGTGCTTTGCTGCTTGACAAGGAGTGGTTTGAATTCCAGCCCGTAGCCTGCAGGCAGAGCTGTGAGCTCCCGCACGTGTGGAGGTGCTGTGTGGGTGTCTGAGTGTCAAGTTGTCCAGGAGCTGAAACGGCGTGCCTCCAGTATGACCACTGATGGAATCTACGGCCTTCATTGCTGCAAATTTTCTTTTGATACTAAGGTTTACACACATTGCTTACCTTTGACTTGGTAGCTTTACAAGGGTAAAGTGACATGGTGCAGGTCTGTGTGAACCAAACCGTATGTAGAGAAAGCACTTTCCACATTGTTCCAAAAGCATAAACTGGCCCAGCTTGAAATCCCAAAGCCATCCTGTTGTTCTAAGATATGGAAGCAAATTGATTTACATTTGAAGGATGTCATGAGCTCACAAGTAAGTAGGTTAGGGGGGAGAAGGTGTTTCTTGCAATTCCTTTAGTACCTCACAAAAGTTCTTTAAAAAGATCAAAGACAGTTTTGTGCAAATTTTAAATTATTAATTATATACATCTGTAGATGGATGAGCTCAAGAGCAGAATTTTTGTCTCAAAAATTAACAAATCCTACCCTAGAATAATAAGATCTCGAGCAAGTGGATCACCAAAACCCCATCCTTTTGTTTGTTGGGATTCCTTTTCTCTTCATGACTGACTAGAATGATGGGTTTGGATACACAAGCTGTCTGATGGGGTTTTGAAAGCTTATACAGAACAAATAAGTGCTACTTATTAATGCCTGGTTTATGCAAAGATTTGTGGTATGAATGAAGGAGTTGACCCTTTCCTTCCCATTTAGAACTAAAACTCTTATCTAGGTGTCATCGGCTTGCATTCTGTGTGTCCCTCTTCCTTTCTTGATTTAGCAAATACCACTGAGGCCTCATCAGGGACTCACGTTATTGGCTTATTACACATACCTTGACATTCCTCCGTTGGTTTTGGTCAGTCCACACAAGCTGCTTCCTCTGGTCTTCAAAGGTGACAAAGATCTATTCTCTGCTTTACCTACTATCATCTTTTTTTTTACTACTGAGATACTGACACTGGACTTTATCTGCCATTTGTCGGGGCGGGGGGGAATATTTTAAGTTTTTTCACTGATTCCTTCTTTGAGAAGGCAGAGGTTTCACGCGGACATGCAGGAAGGCGCCTCGCCCTTGTCATTGGAGATCGAAAAGCTCAGCTATCACAGTGACACTATCACTGGTGTCTTGTGACCATCTCTTTGTTTCTTTGTGCTCTTTATTTCTCTTGCATCTTCACAGTCTCATTACACTTCAGTATTTTGCACCAGCCATAGTTTATTATACCACTTTATTCATTTTAAAAAAAAAAAAACAATGCAATGTTGAAGAAACCTTCACAAATAATTCTAACAGAGATTTTGTTTATACTGATGATTTGAAATTACATTATTTTGCTTTGTTATGTTGTCTAGTTAATAATCCCCATCTTAATGGCTGTGAAAAGGTATCAAATTCCAAGTACTCGGCAAATAAAAGTTTACATTTAAAAAAATTTCCTGTATAAATCCATGTAACAGGGGTTCTGACAATTACTGATAGCTAATTAATAGTAAGTATGTTGCCTGCCAGTGGCTTGTCCAATGATAGATTTATATGAAGTAGCTGCATAAAGTATTTTTTAGTAAGTGCATCGTTGATGAATTTGGCATGAAGAAAATCCATTCTCTGCATCTGCCAGTGGGTTTTATTCGGTGATTTGTTGTTGTCGCTGTCTACAGCTCAGAAATTAGGCCTAGCTGAGCCTCATTCCTTGCCACACTAACTGCTGAAGAATGGGTAAAAATGAAGCAGAGATCCATACAGCACAGAGGCTCCATACAGCCTTGTGCAATATGCAGGGAAGAATTTGCACTTCAGCCTCAGGTACATGTATAACTGTATAATTGTGTGGACTACACAGTTTTATTTAAACACTTTTTTTCCAGAGTTACTGCTAAAAATCATTAGCTGGGGGAAGAAAGGAAGGAGAGAATGTACTGTAAGACACTATTTAGCATTTAATAGCTGGACCCAGCTATCAGTGGCCAACTCTGAAAGTATTTTGGACATGACATGGTTGGTAGTGTTTGTTCCCTTTTGAAGTTATGACAGCAGAGGAGATGGTAATCAGCCTTTTCATCTATTCTTGCAAAGCAGGTATAGGCTATTTTCTGCTTCATTTACACTCCTGTTAGATATGATCCTAGCCTTCATTCATCATAATGGCTAGTATTTACTAGTTTACAGTTTAGCATATATTTTGTTTTCTCACAAGTTTTGTTAATTGCAGATTAGTTGAATCATTATTTCTGTTTGGAAAATGGAAGTAGGTGTATTCTTGATACCAGTCAGTCCCTTCCTTAGGTTATCTGAAGAAATGCTTGCATTTTACCTTGATGGCTTTATTCAATGCATGTGTGTAGTGTAACCATAAGTACATTGTGCTTTATTAGATTCTCTCATCTCAAAAATATTAATCAAAAGGGACAAGTGACTGACTGAAGAGGAGTGCTGCTTCAGAGAGGTGATGATGGTAATTAGAATAATTATCCCAACTGCTTGCAAATTTCTTTCCACAGTGCATTTTAGGGTGTTATTTTCTGCCTGTTCTCCCTTTATTTTTTCTTGAAGACTTTTTACAACCAAGTCTATGATGTGAGTCAGGATCTTTCAACGATCTTAGATACGGGGCTTTTGCTTCCTTTTACATCAACGTTAACTGGAGGTGTACAATTGTCCACAGACAGGTGGGATCGATCTGGCAAAAGATCATTCTGCTGATTTCTGGCTACCCTGAAAGTCTAAAGCTTGACAAGAGAGAGCAAAAGACAGCACTCATTAAAAAGGTTACTTTAGATTTGGCACAAAAAGGGAAATGCCTCTGGAATTCTTTTTGTCCTCAGCATTTCGTTAGCTTTCCTCCCTCAAGGGAAAAAAGCCACTGTATCTGAAAGCTTTCCCTTCAGCTGGCTGCTAGCCATTAATCCTTTTGTGTTTGCCAGCTCAATAGTGCACACTACTTGTTCTGGTTTTCACTCCTTTCCCAGTTTTTCCTTCCTCTAAGAGGCAACTGCCTTTTTTGTCCAACTCTGTATCTTTTGTCAGGATGGAGATCATCAGCATTTGGTGGGAATTTAGGTCAGATAAAGGTGAAGTTTTCTTCTAGCCTGTGAACATGCTTTCTCCTTTGGTGGTTTTTTTTATATATGTGTGAAATGCTGCATTTGATGTATATCACTTCTTGAACTTAACATCTCTGTGGGGAAAAGGGAAAAAAAATTAATCAGCTTTCATTTTAAGTACTTGTTTTATAATCTTTCCCTTCAGTCAGTAGCAGTTTGCATTTCTTGCTTTCTGCCAGTCCCTGGGTTGTTAACACAAAATTCACATATTGGTTTAAGATGTAATATATTAAGTAATTGCTATAGAAGACTAATTTTATTTCCACGAGAAAGTCTGCAGTAGTAACAGAGAGAAACTAATGACCTTTCAGGCAGTCAGAATTTTTCGTGTCAGCATTTTTTACTTTTCAGCTCTTAGAATGGTTTAAAGTCAGGTAGGTTTGTTTGGTTTTTTATTTCCTTTGAAAAACAGGTGCTGCTTTCATGTTCCCATGTATTCCATAAAGTGAGTACATTTTTATATAACTAGTCAAGCACATAATATGTGAGTATTTTAATTAAACTACTTAAGTGAGTATCTTAATGAATTAAATGTAATCATCTTGAAAAGTAATTTTGGTTCCAGATTTTTATGGAAAGAAATATAATTTAAGACTATTTTATGATGAAGCACTTTATTCCATTTTATTACCTTTTTTAAAACCATATGGGAAAACACAGTTTGTAACTGAGCTATACATTTGTATACTAAGCAGGAATAGTTTAATACACGAGACTTCCTGCAAGTATGTGGAGATTTATAAAACTCTCGTAGCATTTTAATTATAAAAATATGCATCTTGTAGAGTGTTCATGGATTGATGAATAAACTGGTTTTACATTCTGTAATTTATCCTGTTCCATCTGTTCCGATGATATGAAATATATTGTAAGTAATTGCAATTGTTTTTTCAGGCATGCCTGAAAGCCTTTGAAATATTTACAGGTAAAAAGTTTTGTCCTCTGTGTAGAAAAGAGCAGTATCAGACCAAAGTAATACGTGATGGGGCACGCTTGTTTAAAATAGTGCGCTATTAGGTAAGCCTTACTTCTGCTACAGGTGTTGTCAGTGGACAGTATTTAATTCTAAATAATGTTCCAAATGTGTTAAAAGTTTAATAAGAACCTAGACAGAGTGAATGCACTACAAAAGTTAAAGTTTAAAAAAATTACATTAAATGATTGTTTCGTATAAAGAGTAAAATTATGTAAATTTGAGTTTCATCTCCTTGACCAAAACTGTGTCTTACAGAATTCAAGCTTCCTGGAGGTGACATACTGTTAGAAAATGGTATAAAGACTTGAGCAAAACAGTGCCTCCTAAAGATAGCGAATTAAGAAAGCAATTCTTTGAGAAAAAGGTATGTTACATTTGATTCTTTGGTCTGATCCAGCTCCCTTAAATCAAAACTCATGAGTATCAGCTCTCTACCTTTTTGTTTGTTCCTTCTTATTCATATAAAACAGGCAGCACCAGAGGCACTCAGTTTTGTTAGTCTGATCGTTCTATCCTCTTTACAATGTAGAAGTAAGGAGAATAATTTAAATATTTAATTATAAGGCCCGCCATTTGCCTAGGCCAACAATAGCGGGCTTTTTGTGAGACTCTGCATTTCCCTTCTCCTTTTGATAAATCAGTCACCTGTTTTCCTATAGAATTATATGAAGAGGGTATAGCAAGGGGAGAAACAAATAAATCCATAAACAATCGTAATTTCTTTTCACCGTCGTCGTTCTCTCACTGGACACTGAACTGGATAGCTCCATTCCATAGCTTTGCCCTTCTCCAGCTTCTGCTCGGACGCAAGTCAGACTGTAACAAATGAGGGTCCTGACCCCACACAAATGAGGCCAAATCGGGTACAAGCACTCTGCAGTGACCCTGCTTGCCTTTAAGCACACAGCTGCTGCAGCGTCCTGTGCGATCCTCAAGTCCTCCTTTGCTGCCTTCCAGTCTTCCCCCAGTTTAGTAACAGCCAGCCCAGCTCAGCTTTTCGCTAACAAGAACTGCTCTGACACATCCTCAGCAATTACCAGACCATCCCTCGGGGAGCGAGAGAAGCCTTCCTCGAGCCTGGTTAACGGGGATTAGCAAAGCCACACACCACAGCCAGGCAGCCATTGGAACGGAGCTAGGGCGTGCAACTGGGAATGTACTTGACCCCAGTTGCCAGCTAAGTCTGTGCTAGGTTTAAACCAATAATTAAATCTGTTGGGGTTTGGTTTTTTTTTTTAAATCACTGCTTTAGTTAAACAGTAGAGTGCCCTGCAGAAAAAGGCTTGTTGCTGTCATCATTTCCCACTTACTTGGTTGTGTCCTGTGGGAGGAGAGCATTGGAGAGCAAGACCCTCTCTTGCTGTATTACCCGTTGATGTGCGATAGCGAGATTGGTAGCCTGGAGGTGACCTAGCAGGCTGTTGCAACGGAACTGGTACCCGTTCTGCTTGTGCAGTAACAGTGGCAGGGGAGAGAGAGGAAATCCTGTTCTTAGCCTTAACCCTGACACAGCTTGCTGGTCCCGGCGCTGCCTTTGTAGCCGATGCACAGTCCTTCCCTGCAACAGAGAATGTGAATGTGGGGTACCCGAAGGCAGCTAGTGTTACACCCGAAAGTGCTCCGACGCTTCAGTTTGGAAGAAATGAATCCTTCGGTGGATTGTGACAAGTAGCATAATGAGAATGAACAGAAACACCGATTTTTCTGCATGAAAGGCTGGGGAGACAGTCATATGCTTCTTTCCCAATAAGGCTGTCAATTGGCTGTGGGATCAAGATGCCACACTTAGCTATAAACAGGTAAAGACAAGTTGAAGAAGGCTTCTGAATGTGCTGAAAGTTGCAGCTGAGTGTCATTTGTTAAAATTTCTCTCTCGTCTTCAGACAGCTACAGTAGCAGTCCACCAAGCTTCCTACAGAGGGTTAGCTTTTGGGGCCCCTACCTTAGATACCTGTGTTAGGGAGAGACAGCCTGGTAGACTGCCCACAGTTCATCACATGCTTCTAAGCCATGGGAAGGTCTTCAATTAACACAGTTTTCTTATATAGCCCACAGCATTAAATAAATACATTTATAAGGTCTTCTCATATGGATTGGCCAGGTTTAAATGAATTCAGTAGCAATTGTGGTTAAAGGACGTACACTTATTTTTCTTAGTGGCTTTCAAGTGGGAATTGTAGATGAGTTTTCCTGCTGTTTGCTCTTACACTTTTAATTGTTGGTTCGTGAAAATACTAAAGAAATTTTTCACAAGGAGCTATCCATTTCCAGATGCTAAAAAGTTTTTCTAAAGTAAATTTTGCCTCTCAAACATGTGCTGTGCTTTTAAATTATCACTCCCTAAACATTGGCATAATCCAATGCCATCACAATTGGGAAAAATAAAAATAATCTAATTTTTAGTAACCCTACCTCCTCTGGAAGGATCACAAAGGTTAAAAATCAAGTTTCATATGCTTAGATAAATATCACAAAATAAAAAACAGAGTCCAAAATACTAGTGTTAGGAAGGACACATATTACTTGTTTCAGGGTGCTATACTAGCCCTTATTACTCCTATCATTAAAATTTTTAATAATCTGGATCAAAGGAGATACGAAAGGTCACTGAAACCAAAGTAGGCTACTTTTTAGCACTGCTGTACACAGAAAGCAGGGTGTTGCTTCAGCATGTTAAGGAGTGAATTTCTTTGATCTTACCTATACATGTCACTCCTGTATGTCATTTAATTATGGTATAGTCTTTTGTGGGTGCAATTAGATCGTTTCAAACGCATTACATTATCTTCCAGTTTTGCTAAAAATCTTGCCCTTGTTTCGGAAGCGAGGTAAGTCATTGTGAAATGATGCAGTTGACTTTAGTTTCTCCCTCCCCCCTCCACATGATTTCTCCCAACGATTTAAATTTAAATCTCACCAAACAGTATAATGGTCCTGGAATTTGTTTAGTCATTTGACTTCCTTTATCACATGGAGATGGTAAACATTCTGTTGCTAACTTGAAGTGGCTCCAAGCAGCAAAACTAGGAGGATATTAAACCAGTAAAAGCTTATCAACTGATTCATTGATATGCTGTAAATTCCAGCCTTTTCATTTTACTTTTGAGGGTTGCCATAAGTCAACACATTAGTAAGCAATTTGCTGACATTGGATCACTTAAAAAGGCTTCCCTGTGGACAAAGTTCACCTCGGTGCTTTGTTTCGTCGTTTTATTTTATCATAGTCTTGTGCTGCTGTACAGATGACTGATGTCGCTGTTGCATACCGATAGGGTATTTCAGGTGTTCAGTTTATGCCATTCTGTTCAAGTTTTAAGAAGTCATAGACATAAAATAGAGGCATGGCATTTTCAGAAATAAATTCAATTCGTCAGTTTCAGTTGTTCTAGGAAACAAAGGTTATTCAGTATTACACATTAAAACACAGCAGGATATAATATTTAAATCCTAGAACACATTAACACTAACAAATTACACAAAACGCTTATTTCCTTTCTGCTTGCATTGATAGTCTGCACTGATTTGCCAGTTAGCAAAAATTTGGGGTTAAATTTCAGTTGCACTTTTTTTTTCTTCCCAACCTAGACTTTATTTGCTGATCGATGGATATGGGTTGGGTCAGGTCATACTGCAGAAAATACAGGAGTAGCTCAAAGCAGATAGTATCTTAGCAGCAGGGGAACTTGATAGATCACTGTCTCAGGCAGGAGAAGAGTTTTCCTCTCTTTATTTTTACAGTTTCTGCTCAAGGAGGCTCATGAGAGGACTTTTCAGGATCACTTGGGGAAATGGGGAAGAGAAATACAAGCGCAAGCTCAGGGAAGAAATGGAGAGCTTCTCCCTGCTGAGGGGAAAGCAGCAGAGGCACAGACAGACAGGGCCCACTGCTTGCTTAGCGCAGCCCCAGCCCCTCTCTGCCCCCCACTCTCCTCGTTGGTTAGTTGTCCTCAGCAGCTTGTCTAGTCACGGGGTGGCTCACAAAGACAGGCCAAGTCCTGGAACCGAACACGCACTGTCTGTGTTGCTCTCACATTCACAGAAACAGGCGCTGGATGAGGGTAGACTTAAAACATGGTTGCTTTTCCTCAAATTTTGTGTCCTGAGAGGCTATTAGAAAGCATCAGCATGGCTGCTCTGGCTTTCTGTTACATGCCCCCAGCTTTCTTGTGAAAACAGTTCAGGTCTGTTGAGGTTTGATACCAATATAAATGAATATCAAGCATAAATCAGGACCAAAAGTGTTTTCAAATAGGTCAACCTTTACTTGACATTGAACAGAAACCATGAATTATATAAGGTTTAGGTGTAATCATACCCTGTTGGTCCTGAAGTCAGACTTTAAAATGAAATGAATAAAAGCAGTTAAAATTCAATGTGAAGTAGATTCAGTTCTAGAACCTAGGTAATAACGGTTCAGATAAAACTTACTAGGACTGTTATTGCTTAATTCAATACATAATCACATTAAAATGTTAAAGACATAACCTGATTAAAGTGCAGTGTGTTAGTTTTCACGTCTCATTCAGGAAGCCCACAGTGTCATCCTCTGGAGGCCACAAAGTGTAAATATTGAAGGAGGCCTGTGGTGGGATTCTTGTTTGTTTGGTTTTTGTTTTACACCTACCATTGAAGGTCAGTGTGTGTGTTTGTGTGGGACAGGATCAGGTGGGTTTTTTCTTTCGTGTCAGTGAACGGTCCTGAGGGGAGCACAAGATTACCCGTCTGCTCTTCACTAGACACAGAGTTCTCTCACAGAGCGCAGAAGGGGCTGCTGCTTTTCCTGTCACATTGTGATTTTAATACATGCACTGTGCAAGGGGTCGCAGGGGATGGTTTTTTTTAATCCTTTCTCTTTTATTATTAAGTTAAGTTGATACATCAGCATTATTAACTAAAAAGGCAACTAAATCTGATGACAAACGGGAACATCCTTTCAATATACTGTTGTGTTAGGGATCATTTGGAAGTACAGTCAGTCATAACAGGTCTTAGCAGTGAATCAGATCATAGTTAAAAGAAGAAACAAGATCAAATCTAACGTCAGGAAGAAAACAACTTGCCTTATGTGATGGTTTTCACAATTTCCCTTACCTGGACACTTCTAATGTTTGTCTTTAAAGTCTTTATTGAGAAACATTATGGGTTTCACTGGAAGCCACTTTCATACTTGCACATTATATGGACATAATTAAAAAAAAAAAACCCACAAATCATTAACTGATGAGCTTTTCCATAGTTTTAAAAGGAAATTTAGGAAATTCAGTTTACTTTAAATCTTAGAATGCTGAGTGAGCTTTTTGGGTAGTTTTTGTGGGATTTGGGCTCTTGATTCCTTTGGGTCTTTGAATATTCTGACATATGCTATGAAGAGTTGCTTTAGCAGTTGTAAGGGAGCTTGTGTCCTGGTAGAGAAAAGTTGCCTCTTCTCTCTCTGCTTATCATGCCTTTAACTCCACAGCAGATGCACTGGTTTCCCATCAAACAAGCAATGCTCAGCTAATTTCTGTACATCCTTTCTCTAACACAGCAGTACCCTCTGTGCTGTACCTGTGCGGGTTAAGAACAGTCCAGCTGCCTTGGGAAACTTCAGTGATGAAACTCCTGTGTTTTCTCTGAAGGATAATGGTCCATCAGTGGAGTCTGGGCACCTGATGCCTTTAACCCCTAAATCAGCACTGGACACCAGCTGCCAATTGGAACAAGATTCCATAGATCATTCCAACTGATCAGGCCCACTGGTCCAGTCACTCGCAATTTGTCCACATGAACTACCTGTAAGTACCTCCAAATCTAACAGCAGTCCATTTTCCTTTCAGGTTCCACAGATCAGCAATCAACTGTTGAGTTCTTACATCAACCTGGATGAATTTTTTTTCTGACACAATTATTTTATAGCTGCAAGTCCAGATGTGTTTCAGCATCTGGAAGGAAAAGAAATATTAAGTGCAACTGAGTGGGAGAAGATCCAGATGCAGGTTGGTTGGCTATTTTTTTTTCTTAAGTAGTTTTGCATCTATAAGCACTTCTGTGCTCTTTTGAGGCAGAGCAGTCTCTTCAGCACAATTGAGTGTTTTCTGTTTTCTTAAATTTTGGTCCGTCTGTTCCAAATCAGAAATATTAAAAAGTTTTTATTTTTACTGTTGTGGTTTAACCCCGGCCAGCAGCTCAGCCCCACACAGCTGCTTGCTCACTCCCCCCCAGGGTGGGATGGGGGACAGAATCAGAAGGGTAAAAGTGACAAAACTCATGGGCTGAGATAAAGACAGTTTAATAGGTAAAGCCAAAGCCGTGTGTGCAAGCAAAGCAAAACAAGGAATTCATTCCCTGCTTCCCCTCGGCAGGCAGGTGTGCAGCCACCCCAGGAGAGCAGGGCTCCATCACATGTAACGGTGACTTAGGAACACCGTCCCCCTTCCTCCTCCTTCCCCAGCTTTGTATGCTGAGCATGACTTCATACGGTCTGGGGTGTCCCTTTGGGCAGCTGTCCCGGCTGTGTCCCCTCCCAACTCCTTGTGCACCCCCAGCCCACCCGCTGGTGGCACGGGGTGAGGAGCAGAGGTGGCCTTGGCTCGGTGTAAGCGCTGCTCAGCAGTAACGAACACATCCCTGTGTTATCAGCGCAGCTTCCAGCACAAACCCAAACCACAGCCCCACACCAGCGACTGTGAAGAAAATTAACTCTACCCCAGCCAAAACCAGCACAAGTTCAGAGGTTTGCCTCAGCTGCATCTCTCTTCTACTCAGCTGAAGAGCCCATAGAGACTGTAGACAAAAGGGAGAATCAAAATGTTAATAGTTTCTCAAAATACATTACAGCCATAAAATTCAAACATTTGAACTAGGACATGGCTGACACATTGACCTTCCAGTGTTTCAGTACAGGCTGGTTGGGTTGTTTCCACTCAGGCATTTGGCAAGAGATATTTGACTGCCCTGTCTGTATCGTGCCCCTCAGTCCTACAGTTCAGTCTGCCCTTCTCCTTTCTGGTAACAGCAATCAGTTTTCAGGAGAGCCTGTTCTGCTTTCTTGTTCACTTCTGTTTCATCATACCTGTCTTCAAGCATTTGAAGAGTTTTCCTTGGGAGAGTGACATATTTGTCCTTTATGTTGTTCATATTATCAGAAGAAAATCCTCAACTGTTGATGCATTTAGCTCATAATGAACTGCCTCGTAGATTGTAGCTGACACCATCAGTACTTCTAATTTTGGAGCCTTTTCAGAGTCAGATCTTCCAAGAACAAACGATTTTGTATGGACAGTGGTACTTGCCTTGTATTTAGAGAAATAAAAGTTAAAGAGATGCTGTTGCTTCCTCTTTATACTCAGTTTCATCTTTGCTCTGCCAGCATTTTTATTCTTCCTCCCCGTCACTCCCACCTTCCTCCATTTTAATTTCCCTTTCCCAAAGATGAGCCCCAGTTTCAGGCATTGTGTTCATTCTGCAATACCCCGCTATTATCCCTCATTTTTTTACCCCCGATCTGTTGCAGCACAGGTTCCCCCTCACAAGGGCCACCACTCCTGCAGCTGGCAGTTGTAGCAAGGAACACTTCTGTTCTTTTCCTTCAGCCATGCTCAGTAACTCAAACCCTGACTCCCCCTTCTGCTTGAACAGGGAGGAGGGAAGAAATCCTGGAGAAATGCAGACATTAGTTTCGCTTCATTTCCCAGAAAAACACTGGTACAGACTACTGAAAAAGAACTAGTATTTGACATGGGACTTGCTAAGAAGAGAATCATATCAAGTCAATTCAGTTCATTTCTGTGACAAGATGCAGTCCTGCAGATGAAGCAGAGAACGTAATGTCACAAAAAATTAAAGTGCAAAATACTTCCGTAGGAATAATCCCACGTAGGAGATGACTTGCATCTTATATACGTACCAATATAGAGACTTTCTGTAGAAAGACATCCAGAAATACAGGAGAACACAAGTTCAGTACAAGTGAATGGTGTTGCAATAAAAGACCAAAAAATCCCCAAACAAAAGTACTGAGATGTGATGTAGTGTAGGGGTCAGGTTGGGGATTTCTGTGTCAGCTCCGAGCTCTGCCTTTCCAGAAACACAGGGGTCCCCACAGGCAGCAAAAAGGCTGATGAGAGGCCTGCGTAGAACTGAGGGAACTGGGGGTCGCTTCTTACCTGGAAGAGAAAGGGAAATGTAACCTCTCAGGTGCGGAAAAAGCTGGTGCAAGCAGAAGGACTTGTCTTACTACAGACATTTGAGAACGAAGTTAAAGCTTAAATCATGGCAAGGGGCTGTTCACATCCAACACTAAGGAAACCTTGGACGATTCAACACTGGAATACACTGCCATCCCCAGCACGATCATCTCCAGCCTGACCACTGGAGAATCTCAACAGCATGTTGGCTTGTGGGGAGCAGGAAGGAGAGAGGAATGCAGCTATTCACACCAACTACTGACAGGGTAATTTACAGTGTCACAAGGATTTATTTTTTCATTGCTTAAAAAATAAAATTTAAAAAAATCAAAACTCCACTATGAATCACAGTTTAACTTTATTGAAAACACAGTAAAAAAAAAAATCTTCCTACAAAACATTCAGTGTAACATTTCAAACAAAGGAAAAACACACCACTGCTTTTCACAAAAAACTCAACCTGGCTAAGGCGGCAAGAATTTTCATTTAGTTTTGTAACACAGCAAAGTATCCACAACTGAGAACATTTTAAAACGTATTTCTGGATGACCAAAATAAACAAGGAAGGGTTTGGTGGGGAGAAGGTACGCACACAGAAAAATGGTTCTGATTAAACACTAAAAGCATAATTTTTTAGCTATGTTTTACCTGGGTCCAAGATATGGCCGTGAAAGAAACATCAGTTGCTCAAGTTTGCAAAGCTGACAAAGCCTTAAGCACGAATCGGACCAAGAGGGGCCAGCTGGTTCCCTTCACCATCTCTCAGCCTCACACACAGGTAAGATTGTGCATAATTACTTTTTTTTTTGTAAACTGAAGTCTTAACCAGTAACACTGCAGTGAAAAACCTGGAAGTGCAGGACAGAAGATCCGTCCCGCTGTGGTTACAGCGCCAGCAGCAGCAACGTCCACAGAGACTCTAGTGCAGAGCTGTATTTATGGTCGTGTCACCCACGTCCCCGTGAAGCTGGTCCCGGGTGAGGAGATGGCCAGCAGCACTCGGAGCAGTCCCAGCCTCTGCAGTGGGAATTTCAGAGACAAAGCTCCATGAAGAGAACAGCAACGCACATGTTCTCTTGGGCAGCGCAGGGAGGGGCTCCTCACCCCCCAGGAAAGGGGAGGGAATCGAGCCACGCTTTTGTGTACAGGTGGGTGTTTCATACTATTGGCTCAACTTTGTTTTGTTATTTAAAGCCAGGGAGAGAAAGTTACTCACACAGATTTTGTGAATTCAAGTATTTTGGCCCAGACTGGGAAAACTTAGGGGGAAAACAGAAGCCATGCACCAGTTAGTTTTCTCCTTCAGCAGTTAAACACATCCATTGTAGTCACAATACGGGTACCACCGTCGCGCCGCTTTTCTGAATGATCATTTTACAGGGAGAGAGAAGGTCCCAAACATGCTCAGAGACGTGAAATACAAGAGGAACAGAAAACATGTGAAGAGCCTCCCCTCGGCACCGCGCAAAGGTTGACTGATCAAAACGTGAGCGCTATTGACTGCTGCCGCACCGCAACGATGCGCCTCGATCTCCCGTCGAGTAAGGCAGCAAGGCACAGCAAGAGCTGGCGTCTTAACTTGGCAGATGACAAGGAAGATACCACAGAGCAGTTCCACGGAACCTCAGCTACTCCGGAGTCACTGCCATCAGCAGGGGCTCAGCGTGCCGGTACAAGCACGTTACTCACTCACTGAGAAGGGGGCTGCTTGCCTCACACTACTGAAAGTTAAAAGCACGCATATATGCCACGACTAAACCATTTTCATCGCACTCCTAATTCAAACTTAACGTGCTCTTGGTAGTTTGTCAGAGGACCCACTCCAGTGACAGTATTGTTTTAATGGAATCTACTGGTAAAAACCAGATCAAGCACGAATGAATGAACAAACACTAACATTTCCATAATGGAAGAACATTTCTAACTAGGGAATGTCTCTGCATAGACTGTGGGAAAAGAAATATATTAAAATCAAAGCAAGTGCCCTTCAATAGCTGGGACCTACAGAAGCACTGAACATAGAAGGAATGCAAAATAAAGCACTATTCCTGAAAGGAGCTTCGTCCAGTGATGCCGACTATAAAACTTTATGTAGTGGGAGGTGGATGCAACAGCAACACTTGAGGTTAATATACACGAACATTTAGAAGGAATTTGGAAGCACTATCCCAGTAGGTACAAGTGAACAGTCAGACACTTAGGAAATCCCATTTCTTAGAAGGCTCTAATTCCGATGTTTACACCAGGCCTTCGTACAAGTACAGTGTTTAAATGGCTTGGAACCAGACACACCAGGATTATCAGCTTTTACAGGGTATTTCTGACACCATCCCTTTGACTGTTTGGAGTCACCTGCTGTATTTGTTAAAGTATTTAATGCTATGTATGTTAAAAAAAAAACTATATGAGCAATAAATGAAAAAGTAACTTAGAAAAATACAGTGATTAAAACCAGCAAGCACCCTCAGGTTTTCTGTTGCCAAAACAGAGCGATCTTCGAAAGTTCACAGGCTTCTATAAAGTTAGAGACACAGATACTGTTGCACTGTGAATCACAAAACAGATTTTAAGAATTTATGAACTTCTTTTCAGCGCGAGTGAGTTAATAGCCTACTTAGAGAACATACAATTAACTTTCATATACTAACAATACATGTGTTTCTCTTTGAAAGAAGAGCTTTAGGTGCTTCAGTTGCAAAATGTTTCAAAAACCCCATCCCATTTAAGTTTCCTTCTGGTATGTGTTCTTGCAGATCATACATCAGATCTAGGTAGATTCTTCTTGTTCTGTTATTTCACGTTTTGTCTACATCGAGACGAGGATCTGTTCTTAACACCAATGCTACCAAATAAGATAGTGAATGACTTGAAAACATAAAAAAGGAAAGCAAGCCAAGATGTCAGAGGTCGTCAAGAACTAGGGCTAGATTTAGAAAACCGTTTCATCAGCTGCTGAATTTCATGAACTTAAGGATTTTACATATATTTTTAGTAATACAGAATTGTAAAGATTGGCTAGAAAAAGAATGGAAAACAGACTGCACAGGTGAGCTCTGTGTCATTCCCCCACCACCTCCCTCCTCAATTATTTAGGATTTGGGAAGTCACATTTAGTGTTAATTCCCCACAAGTTGTGTTCTCCTTCCCAAGATTCTGACAGATACCATCAAGCTTTAATTGTTAAAATGAAACTTGTAGGGGATCCTCTCTGGCTGCGGTCTGGGGGGACGTGGTTCTATCCAGAGCCATGCAGCGTTCCCGCAACAGCAGGAAGCCATTCCAGCAGCGAACGGCCTGTGCAGCCACACCATCAGACAGTCCTGAACGACTTCGTAGTCCCAACCAGCCAGAGCTGCAAGCGAAAAGCTGCAGCTCCAGAACCAGCCCAGCTCTCACCCGGAAACCCCGCGAGGCTGCAGTGCCACCCGCAAGTACCAATTCGGCAACTGGAACCGCGCGGGGCAGATGGACAACGCACGGGCTGATCTCCTCACGCCCTGAACAGGACAGGAGCATCACAGCTTCCTAGGGCCGCGTCAGAGACTCTTTGCCTGAAGTCAGGGCACCGGGCAAGGCAGAGAGAGGGCACAGAGGTCACCACTGTCCAGGTGGTGGCTGCTGGCTGAGGTTGCCCTTCCTGAATGGGATGAGCTCAAAAGCAGCTTTTTTGTTACGTTCAAATGCTGTTCATGCGACTGCAGTAACTTGCCAGTTTATCAATAGTAAATTCAACATTCAGGAGCTCAAGATTGCCGCTCCCAAAATATATGGCTTGGGGAGGGAAGTTAGTGTCTGCAACACTGTCTCAAGTCAGCACGAAAAACAACCAAAAAAAATACTAACAGTAGGGGTTGGGGAACTTACTTCCTTAAAGCATTTAAAGGTTCACAGGTCACATCAACACTTTTTTTAAACAAAACTAAGCACATCTCTTTTTAAAGAGGTTATTAACATGGCCTTAGTGTACCGTCTCTGCTTAAATGACTTTACCTAGATTAAAAAATGGCTATTTTTAAAAATATCAGAGTATATGTAAACCAACAGGGTTTAGCTGTTTTACTGTATTTGGCATTTCAAAATTGTAGGTGCTAGTCCACTAAGTGTAAGGCTCAGCTGCTGTACGTACACCACCTGAGCCCATCCCACTTCTGGAAGAGGAGGAAGAGAAAGAGAAAGGGAAATAAACCGAGAACATTCTTACAAAATGCAAGAAACGTCACGTGCGTGAAGCAGCCACCTGCTCTTTGTTCCTACCTTATTCTTCTCTAATGCAGATTGCAAATTCTTTAAGAGAAGGGCCATCTTGTCTTTGCTACAGAGCAGTGGGCACGTGTGAGCACCTGACGTAGCATCAGCTGCTGCAGACGTACGGGCAAGCAGGAGAGACACGGTGGGACAGACAGAGCTGAGCCCCCACACTCAGTGGTGCTCCCCTCCGCACAGACCCCGCGCACGGCCAGGCCAAGGTGGGACCGAGGTGGCACGTTGGAACCAGGCAAGGAAAACAACTTGTCAAATCCTTTAATTTCTATGACACTAAAACAGTCAACAGGGTAAAAGGTATCAGAGGAACAGGGCCAGAGATAAACACACATTACAGACAGTAAACAAAGCCTCCTATGAACGCAAAAACTGTTACTTATACAGTAACCAATACCATTATTTTTTAGCTTAAAGTGATAAGTATGTGTGCTTTATGCTTAGAAATCCCACAACGTTATAGTTCTGCCACTGCATTTAACATTGTGCTACCAACACAGAACAACGCCAAGGAACGGCTAACTTAAACGCTTGGTCTACATCTATTTTTTGGTCTTGTGTGGTATCTAGTTGAGATGGAAGCATTTATGTGCTTTTTGCCTCATAAGAAGCGAGGCAGATGTTAATGTTACTAAGATCAGTTGTATATACCTTGAAGGTATAGACCACCTGACTCTACATGAGTCAAAATACTAGGAATGTATCGTCAATATCCATTAATGAATTACCAGTTGCTCGTATTTAAGTGACCATATGCTTCTGTGAAAAGTACATAGTGACCTGTATCTTACACGTAGTATATTCGTAGCATTGTATCTGTAAAGAAGTTTTGCATAAGCATGTCATTTTCAAGGCCAAAGGCATATTTTAATGTGGACAGTGTCACAATATAAACAGCTGATTTTAAAACAAAACACTGTCAGTAGTTGCACAGGGTAGTTCTGAATTTCTCAACAACCTTAAAAACCACAGAGCATCTTAACCATCCTCCGTATTTCAGCATAAATTCCTCACTAACGTAGCCTTAACCCATACATCTCTGACTGCAGAATCCAGCCGAAGAGGTGGGAACAGGCAAGGCTGTAACATTGGTTTTGAAAGAGTTTTAAAGTCTTGCCTGAAACTTGTGTGCTTATCTGCAGGAACTGTCTCTGCTCAATGTAAGTAATTGCCCAACTCACTTTCAGAAACCACGTACACGTTATAATCCCATCTTTTTCTATGTTCTTGGGTCACTGACACCAGGACAAACCTCTCTCCAAAAGCATGAAGACCAAGACCTATGCTGGGTCACACTCCCTAGACTTATTCCTTAAATTAATTCCTTCTGTTTCACAGACTGTATTTAAATAACTGTCTTAAAGTTGTAACAGAAATCTTTTAATAAAGCTAACTAGCCTCACACACCACAATTCACCAGCCCCATTAAGACACGAGGACAATTTTGGTCACACAATCACTTGCATGGACAAGTGGATACACTTCAGTTATTTTTAACTATCATGCTAATATGTAAGGCTACAAGCTCTGAGAATACCTGAATAACACCCTGGTAATAAATCTCCCAATATTTTAAGTGTAAACACATTTTAAAATTATTTTTAATTACAGCTCCCTGTTCTTGGTTGCAGAACTTTTACTCCAATAAAGATTTTTCACTAAAATGTCAGTATTAAACTCAAACAACAGAAAAAATGCTTGTAAATCCTAGTGAAATCAAGGAATTTTACTTTTCTTCCAAGACTCAGTACAACACATCAATAGTCAGTTTAGAAAGCCTTGAATTTATACTAATCACACACACAAAAAGTAACCCTCTAGCATCATATTACTACAGCAATATTTACATTATGCCCCAGTTCATGTCACAAAAGGCATCTGCATAAAAACCTGAAAATCCTCGTGTATACTGGAGCTTGATTTTTGAAGCACTAGGGGGGGGGGGAAGCAGCTCCCATTCACACACACAGCAATAAGGTCTACAGCCCAGAGCAGCCACCTTGGGAGAACAGCCAAAGAGTTTCTGACACAAGGTTTATCTTATTTCAGAACCACACTGCAGAGCTAGTTGTCACCACTTCACCACGACTAAGACCTCAAACTGCAGACACACTTGTTTTACAGGAATGGGAAATAAGCAGGAGCGTCACCTGACTCGCTACCTAGCGAGCACACCCTGAAGGGGTCCCCGTTCTGATCTGTTTGAAGATGACTTGTGGCAGAGCAGGACAAAAGTGCAACCACACCTTGAATACTTACTTGGGTTTTGGTCACTGGGTTTTCTCTTTACTACAAACTGCCTGAAGGATTCCTAAGGCTGGGGTAATGCTAAGAAAAAGGACGTTGCCACCCACCGATGCCATCCTGAACCTAAGGCCTCTGAGCAGTTAAACTGTTACACCACAGAAATTCATACTACCAAGACTGAACACAAGTTTTACTTACCAAACCACCTAAGTCCTCTCTATAGGCTTAGAATTTAATTTACGGTATCTACGCATATAGGCCTATATACATGTTCATGTGTACATTAAAAAAACAGGCTAGTGAAAGATACTGGGTTATGCCACTGAACAGAAATCCTGGTAACTATAGTATAAATTCAGAGAAATAATTTACTTCAAATTAAAGAAGATTGTAAAAAACTGCAATTGCAGCCTCCTAGGCCTGTGCGACTTGCATTGACTACAAGTACTGCTTATACACAGTAGTTCATAAAGAATTTTACAGGGATGTACTCGGTAGGGCGACCTCCACGGCACAATAGCTTACAGAACTGTAAGACCTGTGACAGGGGGTCTACGCAGCTTTTTACAAAGCATACTAGGCTCAGATTTAACACTGAAGTTAATCTTCATCTTGTACTTTGTTCTATTTGATAAGACATTGTCTGGCCACCAGTAAAGCAACCTGGCGCTTATAGCTAAGAACTGCAAGCTGAAAACGCTGGCCTTCCGAGAAGGCTTCGTGACATCGGCCTACGAACAGCCTACGGTAGCCAGCGCGAAAGGAGCTGTGATCTCTAGCAGTTACTGTCATTGTTCTTAGTGGAACTGTTTATCTGCTGTCAAGGACACCTACTCCAGGTAGTTTACATTTCCAGTAAGGGTCATGTTGAGCTTCAAGGGTATCTTTTTTTCTTCTTTTTTTTTTTTTTTTTTAAACCAAGTCCCAAAGTTATTCTTTATAGCTGTGTCTGTATAACACAGGAGGTACTGTGCATTCAAATGGTAGCAGGTTTAGATAGAACGATGTGAGACTCAACAAATAAAAAGGAATGCATGATTCTCTTCAACTTCCAGTCTTCAAGGCACCTCCTGCATTAACTTACTGGGAAATAAACAAGCAGACCAAAAGTTCACTGGAAAGAGAAGACTCTGCTACACCCAACTTCCTCAGAAGCACACAGCATCAAAAAATGAGACAAGGTTGGACCCAAATTATCAACAAATAAAATCAATATAAAAATGCTGATGAGAT